TTATAAAGAAAATTAAGCGAAATCGATTCGCGTATATCGAACCGAAAAATTCCGTCCGGTGAGCAATATAATTATCTCCGAAAGATTCTGCCTTATCCTGTATTTCCCCGAGAAAAATTCACTAGAAAATTTGTCATCCGTGCATAGTAAATAGCATGCGTTTATGCGACGAAATTTATAATTTTGCAAATTGTTATTCGCAAATTTGCAAATAATACACGCGTATAACCTTAAGAATAAACGAAGAAGTATAGGTAAATGTTATTTAACCCGCTTAAAGAAAGATTTACGATGCCCTAAACTGCACTACGCACCTTAAAATGGAGCAACCGAGTTCCCCTAAATTGCACCACTACCCTATAGAAATCGATTCTATGGTTATCAAAAGTGCAAACAGCTAAACACAAATAAACAAAAGATGTCACTTCCGGCTGAGCAAGCATTGAAAGCGGACGGCTTTTTCTGAGTGCGCTAATAATAAAATACTTTTTCATAGTGAACCATCTTAAAGTTTAGTTTGTGTTAAAATTTTGTGTGTAAACACTAAGAATAGTGTGTGGTGACTTAGAGGAAATCTGAGGTAAGCTGTATCGTGCTTATTTTACCTTTTTATTTGTGATCTTAAATTTAACAAAACTACGGGTGTGCAAGCAAAGTGAAGCGTGGGCTTCACGGCAATGTAGGTGACGCCATGGCGTCAGAAGACGATGGGGAAAATGGCGGTAAGGCCGATAAGGCGCCGCCAAAAAACAATAGATACAAAAGAAAAAAAAATTCTGAAAGTGAAAATGAAATGCGTTTTTTAAATAATGAAAATCTAATGATAGATGAAATAGCGGAAAGTACAGTTTCATGTGCGGCAAATTTTACAACAAAAAATACCAACGAAATTACAGTTACCGAAACCACAGCTATATCAGGCGATCGGTTTAGCAAAGATGATGCGAGAAAAGAAACGGTGCTTTACCCAGCAAACCATAAGGGCAAAGCAAGTGTGCTTTTCGACACATCACAAGCAGAAAATGTGCAAAATAAAAGAGTACGTAATGGGTTGTACTTATGGGACAAAATTAAAATCTTTGATATTGAGGGTATTGATGAAATTAGAGCCATAGGTATTACGCTCTATAGAGTGACTTTTGAAAATGTGCTCTTTGCAAATAGATGTGTTAAAAATGAACGCTTAAAAGCCAGCAGTATTAAAATTTTCATTCCTAGAAACTATATAGAAACGTACGGAATTATCAGAGGTATACCAACCGAGTACTCCGATACGGAAATAAAAGACTGTATAATATCTGAAGTAAAAATCAACTCAATTCAAAGACTGACGAGAAGGGAAAATAGGGAAAGTGATAGCAGGGTACCGACTTTATCCGTGAAAATAGGCTTCTCTGGAGACAGAATTCCGAAGAGTGTTGTTTTGAATCACACGATCTTGGAGGTTCAATATTTCATTCCTTTGATTAGACAATGCTACAAGTGCGGCAGGCTAGGCCACACTCAGAAAGCATGCAAATCTGAAAAAAGGTGCCTTAAGTGTGGGAATAGGGAAGAATGCACAGTCAGATGTGATTCTTTAAGATGCATTTTGTGTGGCGATACGTCGCATATTGCTTTTGATAGAAAAAATTGCCCTGCTTGGGAAAAAGAAAATCTGCTTATAAAAACCATGACTCTGAAGAAGCTAACTAGAAGAGAAGTATTAAATGAATTCAAATCGGAGTCGGGAAACAGGTTTGAACTCCTCAGTGAGAAACATTTCCCGGAACTTACAATGCAACAAAACCCCTTCAAAGACAAACAAATTGAGCTCAACAAAATGTTTACCCCTACCCCCTATGCGAATATAGTTAGGCGATATAGACCAAAAGCAATTAGCCCGGAGAAAACTCAACAAATTAAACCACCACGACAGGCAAGGGGCCACTCCAAAGATCAACAAAATGGAGTAGCATTCAAGCATCCGAATCTACATATTGTATCTGAAATAGAAAAAATTACAACTGAAATGACCAAGTTTGCCAGAGATGCATTCCGAAAGGTAAACTTTCCAGCAGGCGTCAATGCCTTTGTGCATTTCAATGACAGGCTAAAACAAAAATTCGTAAGTTTGGATAGCGGAGAAATGGATACAGGGGAAAACGAAGAAGTAGAATCTCAAAATGAAAGTTCTACAGTATAACGTACAGTCTTTAAAGAAAAACTCAAATAATATTGATTACTTTCTAAATAGCAAAAATTTTGACATAGTGTGTCTCTGTGACGTTTTTTCACATGATGACACGGACAAGAACAAAAACATCTCAAATTTTAACTTAATAGAAAAAAAAGGTCTGACGGGTATGGGGGAGTTGCCATAGCTCTCCGAAAATCTATAAGATTTAAAATAGTTAATTTTCACTTTGATCATGACATCTGTGTAGTTCAAACTAAAAACCTAACAACAAACTTAGTAATATGCTCTATTTACTGCGAACCATCCATGAATGTAGATACGTTTAAAGCGGTAATCACTAACCTTTTCCGTAAGCTCGAAGCCTACGGAAACGTGCTCATACTCGGTGATTTCAATGCCCGTGCCAAAAGGTGGGGCGATACAACTGACACGGCGAAAGGCAAATGGCTGAGTGCCTTCACTGACGAATCAACTTTTGATTGCATTAACAGTGGCGCTATAACATTCAAACCCAATCTAAATGATGGAGCTAGAGGGTCTGTATTAGATTTAACTTTCACTAATATCACTTCCACAATAAATTGGGAGGTTTTACAATGTCATCTGGGGGGTAGCCATCATTACCCTATTTCTATAAACATTGATTTCACTGAACCTAAAAGTATAAGTTTTCTTTCAAAAAAAAAACTGCTGGCCTCGCTAAACACTGTCCCTTTGATGAACACAACAAGAGAAATCACCCAAACTATCTCTGAGGAAATAAGTAAGGCTACCGTTACGCTAAACAACAGAACACCCAAAACATGGTGGCATGAAGACCTAAATAAGCATTTTAGATTGTATTCTGCAGCAACAAAAAAGTGCAACAGATATCCAACGCTGGAAAATCTCAAAAAGGCTTCTGAATACAAAGAAATCTGGAAGAAAGAGGTACAAAAAGCAAAAAGTAATAACTTCAAGGAAAGTGTCGACACACTTAACAGACAACCAAACACTAGAGAGGCATGGAGATTCATAAATAACCTGAAAGGTAACCCCAAAAAGACCAATAACCCTCAGTGGGTGGAGGAGTCGAACCCCATTTTTTTACAACACCTGAAGGATCAGGTTATGATAAGTAACTTTCCTACTAGGTCTCCAATTTTAACTAGACATAGCGAAAAGGTGCCAAACTTTAGTTTGAGTGAACTCAATCTAGTTCTCAAAAAAAAGACCAAAAGATCAGCGGCTGGCCATGATAGGATCACATATGAAATGATCCGAGCATTGTCTGAAAACGCGAAAGAAAACCTTCTAAGAGCTTTGAATGATTCTTTTCAGACGGGGCATATTGATGATCAGTGGCGAATCATCAAGGTCGTGCCGATACCCAAAGCTGATAGGGACCGAAGTGATTGTAGGAACTATAGACCGATCTCGCTAATACCTGTGATTCTAAAAATTATAAATCTGATGATTAAAGCGAGAATCGACCCATGTTTAACAGAAAATGAGATCCTCCCTAATAGATGCTTTGCCTACCGTAAAGGTGGATCCGCATCAATGTGTATAAACGAAATTTTACATAACATAGCAGTATATAAGGATAGAGGCCTAAAGGTAGCAGCTGTGGTCGTTGACATTAGTAATGCTTATAATTGTGTCCCCACATTAGCACTAGTGAAGATATTGGAAGAATGTGGTATAAATAGCAACTACATCACGTGGATTCAATCTTTCCTACAAGAGAGAATCCTTCAGTTAGGAAAAGACTCTGTCACCATATATGATGGTCTGCCACAGGGCAGCTGCCTCTCCCCTCTTCTTTTCAATGTTTACACAAAATCATTGCACGACCTTGATGATAACTCCGCTGATATCTACCAGTTTGCTGATGACTTTCTCATCATAACATATGACAGGGATTTCCAAACCATGACACGTAAACTCGAGCTTAAACTTAAGGCCTTTGTGGAAGAATGCAATAAATTAAACTTAATGATCAATGTGCAAAAAACCAAATCAATCCATTTTGCTAAGGCTAGTAAGAAACACATCCAGATCATAATTGAAGACCACCCAATAGAACAAGTAAACGAAATCAGCTTCATAGGTCGCACATTAAAAGCCTCCCTTGTAGTAACTTCACACTACAGTAAACTTATTGAGAAGGCAACCAGCAATGTTAAGCTTGTTAAAATGATTACGTCGGTGAAAGCAGGTGTTACACCTAAGATCGCAGTAAATTTATATAAAAGTCTTGTCAGATCGAAAATAGAGGTAGCCCGATCCACGACACACGACCTACCTAAAGTTACGTACAACAAAATTAAGGCATTTCAAAACAGCACTCTACGCAGATGCTTAGGACTAACTCCCTCGACTCCAACCCATAATATCTATGTGCTGGCTAATGAATTCGAACCTAGGGAAAGGGAAAAACTTCTCACTGCCCGCGAATTACTGAAACTTAAATTTATTAACAGCAGTGTATATAATAGCGTTACTTACCATAAACAATTAAACTCTAGTTACTCAGCAATATACTATCACTTCAAAGAGATCTTTGATAACGTAAGCACGGATACTAGATTTGAAAAAAAACAAACAACTCAAAATAATAAGTAATACTCTATCGAGGAAAAAAGCTGATGTGCCCAAAGAGCAATTAAAATCTGAATTTAATAGTCTAGTACATAGCTATAGAGAACGAAATTTTACAATCTTTGCTACGGATGCCTCGGGGGGAGAAAGTTCGATGGGGTGCGGTGTCTATAATGCAACGCAGAAACAAAAATTCCTTTTTAGCATAAATTTTAAGACTTCTTCAGCTTTCAGTGAAATGTGGGCAATCGCAAAAGCTATTGAGTTAGCAGTAGAGGACAAACTGGAAAAAATTGTCATTTTCACTGATAGCTTAACGTCTTGTCACCTTGTGGAGAAGAATGAATCAAATAATTATCTAGCAGCTAAAATTCATAAGTCACTCAACAGCAGCAATCTGGTGTGTGAAATAGTTTGGGTCCCAGGACACGTTGGCATTGAGATCAATGAGATAGCAGACGATTTGGCTAAATGGGCAGTAAATGTGGGTGCTCCTTTGAAAGTTAAACTCACACCTGAAGAGGCTTTAAGGCAAATAAATGTGTCAATCAAAGATGAATGGAATATGCAGTACAAAAGGATCTCACATGAGAAAGGCAAGAGGTTCGCGGAATTCTTCCCAGAGATTCCTAACAAACCCTGGTATCACAATTCCACACTTAACGCAAGAGAGATTAAGACTATAAATAGACTGTTAACCGGACACACCTACGACAATGTATATTTAAACAGAATTAGAGTAGTTAGTACAAACATATGTGAAGAATGCAATATAATTGACGATTATACCCACATGATCTTTGCTTGCCACAAATATAGTAGTATAAGAAATAAGTACGATGCAGTCAAGAACCACAATGATTGCACTGATATATTAAAAAAACGAGACCCTACAACTCTCAAAGATTTATGCAACTTCATAAAAGAAGCTGAATTAGAAATTTAAAAACAAGGGGAAAAAGAACGTTTTAAAGATACATAATAAAATATGTACACATTGACAAATTTGATTACCAAATTAAACTTTATAACTTTTTTCACCAAATAACTCAATTTTTATAAATTGTATCGTTTTAGTTAAACATCAGAAGGGGCCTACGCTCGATCTGCATAACTTTTTTGTTTTGTTTGTTATTTTTGTTTTGTTTGTTTGATTTATTATTTGCTCATTGCACACGTCGGAAGTAGGCATTCTATCTTGCCTAATACGTTTTTTGTATATATTGGACTGAATATACTGTCTAACAAACCATTATACACTGCCTAACAAGGCATTCGTTTTTTGTACACAACAAATCGCTATCATCTGAAGAAAATCACAACAAACGCTACAATATCCTAAAAACTGGGCATCGATTAAGTGCAGGAACACCCCTTCTAACAACACTCATTCGCATCAAGAACGTGAAACTGCTGCACACA